TCATCACATCCATCAGTATGATATCATCACCTCCATCAGTATATCATCACATCGATCAATATGATATCATCACCTCCATCAGTATATCATCACATCGATCAGCATATCATCACCTCCATCAGTATGATATCATCACCTCCATCAGTATGATATCATCATCTCCATCAGTATGATATCATCACCTCCATCAATATGATATCATCACCTCCATCAGTATAATATCATCACCATCAGTATGATATCATCGCATCCATCAGTATGATATTATCACCTCCATCCGTATGATATCATCACCTTCATCAATATGATATCATCACCTCCATCAGTATAATATCCTCACCATCAGTATAGTATCATCACCTCTATCAGTATATCATCACCTCCATCAGTATATCATCATCACCATCAGTATATCATCACCTCCATCAGTATATCATCACCTCCATCAGTATATCATCACCTCCATCAGTATATCATCACCTCCATCAGTATAATATTATCACCATCAGTATATCATCACCTCCATCAGTATATCATCACCTCCATCAGTATAATATCATCACATAGATCAGTATGATATCATCACCATCAGTATGATGTCATCACCTCCATCAGTATGATATCATCACCTTCATCAATATGATATCATCTCCTCCATCAGTATGATATCGTCACCTTCATCAATATGCTACCATCACCTCCATCAGTACAATATCATCACCATCAGTATGATGACATCACCTCCATCAGTACAATATCATCACCATCAGTATGACGTCATCACCTCCATCAGTTTAATATCATCACCATCAGTATGACGTCATCACCTCCATCAGTACAATATCATCACCATCAGTATAGTATCATCACGTCCATCAGTATAACATCACTTCCATCAGTATGATATCGTCACCATCAGTATGATGTCATCTCCTCCATCAGTATGATATAATCACCTCCATCAGTATCATATCATCACATAGATCAGTATGATATCATCACCTCCATCAGTATATCATCACCTCCATCAGTATGATATCATCGCCTCCATCAGTATGTCATCACATCCATCAGTATATCATCACATCCATCAGTATGATATCATCTCCTCCATCAGCATATGATCACCTCCATCAGTTTATCATCACCTCCATCAGTGTATCATCACATCGATTAGCATATCATCACCTCCATCAATATGATATCATCGCCTCCATCAGTATATAATCACCTCCATCAATATGATATCACCACCTCCATCAGTATATAATCACCTCCATCAGTAATATATCATCACCTCAATCAGTATTATATCATCACCTCCGTCAGTATATCATCACTTCCATCAGTATATCATCGCCTCCATCAGCATATGATCACCTCCATCAGTTTATCATCACCTCCATCAGCATATCATCGCCTCCATCAGTATGTCACCACATCGATCAATATTATATCATCACCTCCAACAGTATATCATCACCTTCATCGGTATGATATCATAACCTCAATCAGTATGATAACATCACTTCCATCAGTATGACATCATTACCTCCATCAGTATATCATCACCTCCATCAGTATGATATCATCACCTCCATCAGTATGTCATCACATCGATCAATATGATATCATCACCTCCATCAGTATATCATCACATCGATCAGCATATCATCACCTCCATCAGTATGATATCATCACATCGATCAATATGATATCATCACCTCCATCAGCATATCATCACCTCCATCAGTATATCATCACCTCCATCAGTATATCATCACCTCCATCAGTATAATATCATCACCATCAGTATGGTATCATCACATCGATCAATATGATATCATTACCTCCATCAGTATAATACCATCACCATCAGTATGATATTATCACCTCCATCCGTATGATATCATCACCTTCATCAATATGATATCATCACCTCCATCAGTATATCATCACCTCCATCAGTATGATATCATCACCTCCATCAGGATGATATCATCACCTCCATCAGTATGATATCATCGCCTCCATCAGTATGTCATCACATCCATCAGTATGACATCACCTCCATCAGTATAATACCATCACCATCAGTATGATATTATCACCTCCATCAATATATCATCACATCCATCAGTATGATATCATCACCTCCATCAGTATGATATCATCACCTCCATCAGGATGATATCATCACCTCCATCAGTATGATATCATCACCTCCATCAGTATGTCATCACATCCATCAGTATGATATCATCACTTCCATCAGTATGATATCATCACCTCGATCAGTATGGTATTATCACCTCCATCAGTATGATATCATCACATCCATCAGTATGGTATCATCACCTCCATCAGTATGATATCATCGCCTCTATCAGTAAGATATCATCGCCTCTATCAGTATGATATCATCACATCCATGGTATAATCACCTCCATTAGTATGGTATTATCACCTCCATCAGTATGGTATCATCACCTCCATCAGTATGGTATCATCATCTCCATCAGTATGGTATCATCACCTCCATCTGTATGGTATTATCACCTCCATCAGTATGGTATTATCACCTCCATCAGTATGGTATTATCACCTCCATCAGTATGGTATCATCACCTCCATCAGTATGATATCATCACCTCCTTCAGTATGATATCATCAACTCCATCCGTATGGTGTCATCACCATCAGTATGATATCATCACATCCATCAGTATATTATCACCTCCATCAGTATGGTATCATCATCTCCATTAGTATGATATCATCACCTTCATCAGTATAGTATCATTACTTGCAAAATGATTTTAGATCTTTCAACTGTAGCATACATTATATTTTTCTAACATTCTGGTTTTTGTTTTTGTTGTGAAATGTTATTTTTTTGTTTCGTAGATCATAGTTTCAGTGAGGACGTTTGAATGTAATGCAGAAGAAATACCGTTTGTATCACAAACGTTATACCAACAGTCGTTTCTGACATTAGGGGAACTGCCGGACACTTGGTTTGAACGAAGTCCAGCTACAGATCGACAGGGAAACCGAATGGAATTGATCCGCCATATGGAGTATGTATATGGATTTCTATAACAATAGTAAAACACCGTTATGATTTAATTAGTGAATGTCCAATGTATTCGCTTCTTAATAGTAGCTACACACCATTGAAGCATGTTTCCTGAAAAAAAACTATATCCCCGGTTGTATAGCTCCCTGTTAAACGGATACATTTCACTACATTTGTCTGCTTCTTTTTTGTGAGGATTAAGGTTTTACTTACTCTTGATAGCAGATTCCTGACAACAGTTTATGTCGAGATATTCAGGTCACCAAATCTGTCATGTTGTCTAAAACTTGAGTCTGTTTTCTGAAGCTGGGGCCTTGATACCTTACTTTCGACATGTTAAGACCATACTGTAGCCATACTTTAATGCCAATTGCCGCTGACAGTTTTATTGTTGTAGCCGACTACACACTTCATTTGTCGCTCAGTGTCCATATTACTGCTAATTGGGATAATTAAGAAAGAAATCATTGAACGGAATGTATCAATACATTTAATACAGTAAACGTTCTCTTTCAGTAATAGTTTGTTCATATTCGGAAGAAAGGATCATGGTGTGCTATACTGGATGATTTCTGCTTTACGGAAAGTTGGGGCGGGATGGAAAAACTTCATATTAACGTCGAAGATGAAAGTGCCACCGGACTACAATGACATCAGTATGTACATACCTCCATAAATCATATTAATTATCTATGTCATACAATTTCTTCCGTATTTACAAACTACAATAAAATATATTAATTATCTATGTCATACAATTTTTGCCGTATTTACACACTCCAATAAGATTATATTAATTATCTATATCATACAATGTCTTCCCTATGACACACATCTATAAATTATATCTTTTGTCTATATCACACAATGTCACTTGTATGTACACACCCCAATAAGATTATGTTTATTTTCTATATCATACAATGTTTTCCGTATGTACACACCCCAATAGGATTATGTTTATTTTCTATATCGTACAATGTCTTCGGTATGTACACACCTCGATAAAATATTCCTTATGTCTTCATGATACAATTTCGTCCGTATGTACACACCTCGATAACAATTTCTTCCGTGTGTTTATATCATGCAATGTCTTCCATATGTACACAGCCCAATAATATAATATTTATTGTCTATATCATATTACAATTTCGTCGGTATGTACACACCTTGATAAATTATATTTATCGTCTATATCATATTACAATTTCGTCCGTATGTACACACCTCAATAACATTAGATATAGTCTTTATCATACAATTTCTTCCGTATATACACACCTCAATAACATTATATTTATTGTTTATATCGTACAATGTCTTCCGTATGTACACACCTTGATAAATTATATTTATTGTCTATAGCATATTACAATTTCGTCGGTATGTACACACCTTGATAAATTATATTTATCGTCTATATCATATTACAATTTCGTCCGTATGTACACACCTCAATAACATTAGATATAGTCTTTATCATACAATGTCTTCCCTATGACACACATCTATAAATTATATTTATTGTTTATATCATGCAATGTCTTCCGTATGTACACACTTGATAAATTATATTTATTGTCTATATCATATTACAATCTCGTCCGTATTTACACACCTCAATAACATTAGATATAGTCTTTATCATACAATTTCTTCCGTATATACACACCTCAATAACATTATATTTATTGTTTATATCGTACAATGTCTTCCGTATGTACACACCTTGAAAATTATATTTATTGTCTATATCATATTACAATTTCGTCCGTATGTACACACCTCAATAACATTAGATATAGTCTTTATCATACAATTTCTTCCGTATGTACACACCTCAATAACATTATATTAATTACCTATATCATAAAATGTCTTCCGTATGTACACACCTCAATAATATTATATTTATTGTTTATATCATACAATTTCTTCCGTATATACACACCTCAATAACATTATATTTATTGTTTATATCGTACAATGTCTTCCGTATGTACACACCTTGAAAAATTATATTTATTGTCTATATCATATTACAATTTCGTCCGTATGTACACACCTTGATAAATTACAGTTAATATCTATATCATATTATAATTTCGTCCGTATGTACACACCCCAATAACATTAGATATAATCTTTATCGTACAATTTCTTCCGTATGGAGTACACACCTCAATAACATTATATTAATTACCTATATCATACAATGTCTTCCATATGTACACACCTTGATAAATTACAGTTAATGTCTATATCATATTACAATCTCGTCCGTATGTACACACCTCAATAACATTAGATATAATCTTTATCGTACAATTTCTTCCGTATGTACACACCTCAATAACATTTGATATAATCTTTATCGTACAATTTCTTCCGTATGGAGTACACACCTCAGTTAACATTATATGTACTGTTTATATCATAAAATTTCTTCCGTATGTACACACCTTGATAACATTATATTAATTACCTATATCATAAAATGTCGTCCGTATGTACACACCTCAATAATATTATATTTGTGGTCTTTATCATACAAATCATCTGTACATTGTATATACACACATCAAAAACATTATATTAGTTATATTCAACATACAATGACAATATATTCAGTACAAGCCCCCATAAACTATATTCATTGTCTATAATGTACAAGGTCTTCCGTATGTTTATATATATTGTTCTTTAGGTGATGGTGCTTTATTCCCCGATAACATATATATTGTGTTATAGGTGACGATGCCTCAGTCCCCGATTATGTATATATTGTTTAATAGGTGATGATACCTCAGTCCCCGATAATGTATATATTGTTTTATAGGTGACGATACCTCAGTCCCCGATAATGTATATATTGTTTAATAGGTGACGATACCTCAGTCCCCGATTATGTATAAACTGTTTAATAGATGCCGATGCTTCAGTCCCCGAGTATATATTTATATTGTTATATAGGTGACGATGCCCTAGTCCCTGATTCCGATTTCTTTGATGATCAGCTTGATCGTACAAAAGTAATTGGTGTGTATGCAGTCTATGGAAATTTGCAAGTAAGCATTCAAAGTTGTTTGTTTATCAGTGTAAGATACTTACAACGTTAGTGATACTAGGCTAGGGAAACAAAATGGTGTAAATATTCTGAATTATATCTCAAGATTATTTCGACAAGAATGTGTGGATAACTAAGGTGTTAACTAAACCTGATTGTTTAACATCCCTCAAACAATTGGAAAAAAAATGAAAAATAATCTATGTACTATAATAACAAAAATTGGAAATACAGATTTATGCGAAGTCTTAATTTTTCATAATCAAAAGGTTTTGGAATTGAAATGGTTTACCCTGACAATAATTCAAAAGGACAAAATGAAAAAGAAATAGTGTTTAAATTAAAACAGATAACTTTCATTTCAATTTGAAGATAATTGTCTCAAACACTTAAAATGTAGACAGTATATACTAAAGCAAAAAGTATGGAAATAATACGTTGTCACGTTAAAGATATAACTAAAAGAAACATTAATGATCGATGTGTTAGCTAAATGTATGGGAAATAGAAAAGTTCCTTACAGGTGTCAAATATGAACCTTTAAAGCCAAACGAACACACATATCAAGCTAAATAAACGGTGGTAATTAAAAAATCGACAATTAAACTAACAGAGTGGAGATATATATTGATCATTACAACTATCAACGTAAAATAAAACTAAAAGCCATTAAATTTAAAAAAATAAAATAAAAAAATTATATTATTTAATTAGGTTCATCCACAAAATACAGATGTAGAAATTTAAATTGACGAAAGCTGAATACTTAACATTAAACATGAATGATTTTCTTTAAACAATTCAAATATAGAGTGAAATTAAAACGAAAAAAAGCCTAACATAAACGAAATAAAGCCTAACATAAACGAAATAAAGCCTAACATAAACAAATAAAGCCTAACATAAACGAAATAAGCCTAACATAAACGAAATAAGCCTAACATAAACGAAATAAAGCCTAACATAAACAAATAAAGCCTAACATAAACAAAATAAAGCCTAACATAAACAAATAAAGCCTAACATAAACAAATAAAGCCTAACATAAACGAAATAAAGCCTAACATAAACAAATAAAGCCTAACATAAGCAAACTTCAGTTTAAACACAGACGCGGTTACAATCTTGCATTGGTAAAAAGTTTTTCCTTTTTTTTTTAAATTTGTCGTTTTGAATCGGGAACAATAAGAACGTGTTAATAAGAAACTTCGTTAGTGTGTAGGAAATGGCGTCCTAACAAGCTTTGTGCGGCTGTTGTTATTGTTATTCACTTAGGTTTATCCAAAAAATGTTTACATATATAAACAAACTGATATGAGTAAGCTTTTTATAAACTGAATGACGTCTCCTTGTCAATTAAATAAATTTTGCATAAATATACTGATATAACGTTAGCGAATAGGTGGAACAAAAACAAAGGAATTTGTTGAATTTTGTAAATATACATAGTGTTAAATACTGCTATTTCATGTTAGCAGATAAGTAATAGCTGCAGTGTATACAAGGGAATTTGTTAAATTTTGTATAAATACTGTTATAACATGTTAGAAAATAAGCGAAAGCAAAAGTGTATAAAAAGGAATTCGTTAAGTTTTGTATAAATACTGATAAATCTTCTCAGCAAACAGGTGATAGCTGCAGTGTATACGGTGTAATTCATTAAATTTTGTATCAATACTGTTATAACATGTTAGAAAATAAGCGAAAGCCAAAAGTGTATAAAAAGGAATTCGTTAAGTTTTGTATAAATACTGATAAATCTTCTCAGCAAATAGGTGATAGCTGCAGTGTATACGGTGTAATTCATTAAATTTTGTATAAATACTGTTATAACATGTTAGAAAATAAGCGAAAGCTACAGTGTATAAAAAGGAATTAGTTAGATTTTGTATAAATACTGATAAATCTTCTCAGCAAATAGGTGATATCTGCAGTGTATACGGTGTAATTCGTTAAATTGTGTATAAATACTGATATAACATGTCAGCAAACAATTGATAGCTAAAATGTAGACAAAGTAATTTGTTAAATAATGTTAGAGAAAAATGCAGTGTAGACAAAGGAATTTGTTATATTTTGTATAAATACTGATATAACATGTTAGCAAATTAGTGAAAGCTGCAGTGTAGACGAAGAAATTCGTTGAATTTTGTATAGATACTGATATAACATGTTAGCAAATTAGTGAAAGCTGCAGTGTAGACGAAGGAATTCGTTAAATTCTGTATAAATACTGATATAACATGTCAGCAGATTGGTGAAAGCTGCAGTGTAGACGAAGGAAATCGCTAAATTTTGTATAAATACTGATATAACATGTCAGCAGATAGGTGATAGCTGAAGTGTAGACGAAGTAATTCGTTAAATTTTGTCAGAAAAAGCTGCAGTGTAAACAAAGGAATTCGGTGAATTTTGTATAAATACTTATATCACACATTAGCAAATAGGTGATAGCTGCAGGGTATACAAAGGAATTCGTTAAGTTTGTATAAATACTGTTATAACATGTTAGAAAATTAGCGAAAGCTACAGTGTATAAAAAGGAATTCATTAAATTTTGTATAAATGCTGATATAACATGTCAGCAGATTGGTGAAAGCTGCAGTGTAGACGAAGGAATTCGTTAAATTTTGTATAAATACTGATATAACATGTCAGTAGATTAGTGAAAGCTGCAGTGTAGACGAATGAACTCGTTAAATATTGTTAGAGAAAGCTGCAGTGTAAACAAAGAAAGTCGTTCAATTTTGGATAAATACTAATATAGCATGTATGCAAATTAGTGAAAGCTGCAGCGTAGACAAAGGAATTTGTTAAAAGGGCCTGTTTCCAGTAATGTTAATTATCCATAGGAGCCTGCCCCCGTATAATTTCTTATCTAGCTCAACTACTGTTTTTTTCTTTTCCGAAGAATAATTTTACACCTTTCCGACACCCAGATTTCATAATTTCAGTGAAAATGTATTTTTATAAAGTTGTCAATTTCAGCATCAAAGACATAAGTTCGTAAATAAAAGAAGGTTATCTCGAAATTGTAATTCGCAACATAGTATAAATTTCTTTTGATAAATATTTCCAAAACATCGTGTTTATTCATAAAACATAAAAAAAAAAATTCTCGGATGAAAATGCACTTGCAGAGACACAATTATGAAGAAAAATGCCATAAAATTGCAATTTTCTCCCGTTATATAGTTTTGGATGCAAATTTCCATCAGAAAATCGGATAGAGCTTTACTTGTTTCATATGTGTACCAAAAATCAGCTAATTCCATGTGGTGGAACGTTCTCATATCGCCGCCTGAATGTGGTTGTAAATTGAAAGAAAAGGGGAAATGAGTAACAACCTTGTCTGAAACCCTATTATATAGCTTATTATATACAAACTTTTATATTGAATATCAGAGCGGATATTTTCATGACAGTTTTATGATGTGTAACGACTAAATAAACAGTATCGATATAAAGATTTACACTGAGGACACCCTGATACATGAATACTGTTCTATCTCAAGTTGTCCTCTTCTGAATTTTCTGATCGTGTGGCCTTGTACATTTATCCGTATCTTCTTGTCTTTGTCTATACGTTTACGGAATCATTGACTCGACGCTAGCTATTCTTGTCTCACTTTCCTTGTTTTATTGTCCCATCTCCAAAGCGTTGTGGCTCTGTCAGGGTTGGGACCCTGACTTGTCTCACTTTCTTTGTGCCTGCCGACCACGCCACATCGAATAGATAGATTATCCATATGAAATACTTTATTTTGTTCTAAGTAATCAATCAATTCTGCGCTTCTTGGAGGTATTGAATGTGATTTATTATATTGTCTTGTTATTTTGTGTAATTAGTTGTTCGTTATTTATCACACATTTTCGCATAATTGTACCAAACTACTAAGTATTAGCTGTTTACAGCAATCATCGGTGGCTTGCTATTTTGTTACTTTATCGACGCTTCATAAACCAATCGTTATTGTTTCAAGATGGAGGGTAAATGTGTTGGAGAAGGGTGTCAAGTATACTTCAAGAAACGTAGTGGCAATAAGAACAGAAGTGCACGCAATGTAAATAGTCCACAATATAAATGGCTCCTAGATACGCTGGTGCAACAAGGATTGATGTCAGCAAAGGAACAAGCACTTATTTGCCAGAAGTGCTACATGAAGTATCTTCGGAACAAAAATCAGCCTGAACCTGAACCCGAGCAGAACCAGGAAATAGAGGAAGAAGACGACTCCCCGTCCCATATCCTGCCGTTGCTGACCCTTCATGATCTTTTGAATGGATCATCTTCACACAAAAAATGCTGTCTCTGTCTTGTTACCTTTGCAAGAAATGGAACAAAATCATCAGTCTTACCAAAACGTGCAAGACATCACCTGATCTATTCACACAAACTGTGGTGTCCCACCTCATCCCGCGTCTGCTCCATTCACCTTATTGGTAACGACTTAGATCCGTCTACAGAGGTTGTCCTTGATGGTAGAGGTTCCTTGGAATCTCAGTTACCATCAAAATCGTCCGAAATCATTAATGACCTCCTAGAGGTGTCGCACGTCCTTTCACAGAACCAGTCTGCGTTTACAATAAGCTTTTCTTCTCTTGATGACTCGGCATGCATGGCCTGGACAGGTTGGTCCAAAGATCAGTTCCTCGAAATCCACTCGCACTGTTCCCCATATCTTTCATCTGGTATATATACCAAGACTACACACGATGCTCTATTACTGTTCTGGGTAAAACTGAAAACCGACATTTCCTGGAGTCAGTGTTCTTCTCTTTTTGGAATTTCCAAGTCAAGTGTGTCCAAAACTTTCCACTCCATAGTACAGGCATTAGACACATCGATAGTCCCACAATTTCTAGGTCCGGATCACTTGACAAGAGAACAGTTGCTCGGGCACAATACTGTCTTTTCAGAAGCATTTTTTGGAGATAAAGCCACTGCCATATTAGATGGCACCTATATTTATATCCAGAAAAGCTCCGACCACAAGCTCCAGAGAATGTCCTACTGTGGCCAGAAGAAGAGAAACTATCTCAAATTCATGAGCATCGCCTTACCAGATGGCTACATTCTGGACACAGTAGGACCATTCACTGGCAGCGAAAATGATGCTACAATTACAAAAAAAGTCATGGACAAGCTAGTTACTTGGCTACAACCAGACGACAACGTTGTCGTTGACCGAGGTTTTAGAGATGTCCTACCAGTTCTCGAAGCCTCTGGCCTCAATGCTAGCATGCCGTCATACCTGAAACCCGGTCAAAGTCAACATTCTGACGTCCAAGCAAATCTTGACAGAACTATCACCAAATCGAGGTGGATTGTGGAATCCTATCATGGTCGTCTGAAACACTGGACGTTCTTCCGAACGCAATTGGTGTCTAACAGCTTTATCAATGTCATCGAGGCTTTGCTTCGAACCGTCACAGCCTGTCTGAATGGTATTAGAGGACCGATCTACCAGAGATCTCCAGAGAGAGATGCCAAAGATAGGCTAATGGCTGAACGTATGAAGGACCGTTTGACAACACCGAATGGTTTAGCTCAGAGAGTCAAGACAGATCCGGATCTATCTAGACGGGCAAGGTCCGAGTTTGTCAAGATGGATGCATCTTCCGTACTGTTTCCCCGTCTCGATCTTGATTACTTGAGAACCATTACGTGTGGAACGTATCAGATATCTCTGGCTCCTGGTTACATCGCCGAACATTTAAGTGATGACGGAGACTATGAGGTGTGGCTTTACCAGCACTCCCCAGACCTTCTCCGATGTCAAATACATTCTCGACACAAAAGCCAAACGAAATATAACGTTTGGATACGGTTCACCGTTTCACCCGATGTTGAGGCCCCAATAAAGGACTACTACTGCCAGTGCCCAGTTGGAGAGAGAACGATGGGAATGTGTGCGCACATCTCCAGTATCTTGTACTACCTTGGGTATTACAGGACGCTGGAAAACCCTCGACCATTACAACCACAGGTAAAGAAATTCCGACAAAACTTGAAATAGTTTTCCATGCGGCAACGGAGTGCATATGTCGAAAGTATGTTTGGGGCTCGATATGAAAGATCCCCGTTACCATGTGACTAACCAAACTTATAAATATAGGTATTATACAATCGCCCGTAGCTATGAACACTCCCGTAAATGCGAAAACCAACCAAAATCATAAGGAACACGTTTTGTTTGTTGTTCTGTCTATTTGTCAGCCAATGTCTTCAACCACGGGGACTTGTGAAGTAGCCATCTTGGATTTTTTTTATGAAAAAGTGTTTCTCTCACTTTTTTTCATATCTGTGTACATATTCTCAACATACCGAGCAAATACTCTCGTTTTTTTGTTAATTATCTAAAGAAAGTCGAAAATCGGCAATTCAACCATAGGCTAATTCAACCCAACATTTGAAAATGTTCCACCACTTACATTTTGATGATTTTTCCTCTCATCAATAGCATATTACGTACTGTTTAATAGGATAAAAATTGGTTTGCATCCAACGCCCATAAAAGGGTGTATTCTCTAAAAAACACAGTTTTTGTGTCTAAAATGTTATCATCGAAAATGGCATTTTTGAGATTGTTTCTTCCATAAAACAGCCAAATGGCGCGATGGAAACATGATTTTTTGTCACAATCATGCCATGAATGTATTCTTTACGGTGACCATCATTTGATTAGATTTTCATTAATATTTTACATAACATGCACATTTTATCAACACTTAGACAGCTTCTGAAAGGTACAACTTTGAGGAGCCATAAAAAACAAATCAAGTGACCTAAATCTTTATACTTTATAGATTTGTGACCACAACGGCATGGGCAATGCACCACCAACAGGAAATTTGAATCAGAGAAACCGGCCCTTTGTATAAATACTGATATAACATGTTAGCAAATTTGTTAAATTTTGTTTTAATACTGAAATAGCATGTTAGCAGATAAGTGATAGCTGCAGTGTAGACAAAGGAATTTGCAAAACTTTCTAGGCATCCGTTCCTTTATCAACAAACACAAATAATAAATTGCAGAACAAAACATAAAATATAGACATAAACAGTCATTATAAAACAATTTTACATCACAAGTTATGTAACAGATGTAGCGATTTTACATGTATTTATTGTTGTACTTGTACAAGTGTGAAATAAGGATTTTTTTTAGCTCACCTGGCCCGAAGGATAAAGTGAGCTTATTCCGTGGTGCGGCGTCGATCCTCCGTACGTCCGGCGTCAATATTTTTCTTTAAACAACTTCTTTTTTTATAAGCAAAAGGCCTAGAGTGATGATATTTGGCAAGAAGCATGCTGGGATGAAGGGCCACGAAGTTTGGTCAAGTAAATGACCTTCACCCATTTTCAAGGTCACAGGGTTCAAATATATTAAAAACTTTAAACAACTTCTTCTGAATAACCAAAAGGACCAGTTTGGTGATATTTGGTCAGTAGCATGCTGGAATGAAGGGTTACAAAGTTTGTTCAAATAAATTACCTTCACACATATTCAAAGTCACAGGGGTCAAATTTGTTAAAAACCTTAAAGAGCTTCTTTTGAATAACCAAAATGCCCAGGGTGATGATATTTGGCGAGTAGCATGCTGAGATGAAGAGCTACCAAGTTTGTTCAAATGCATGACCTTCACTTATATTCAAGGTCACAGGGGTCAATTGTGTTAAAAAAAACACCTTTAAACAATTTCTTCTGAATAACCAAAAAGATACTACTACTATAAGAACCTACTAAAAGAACCAAGAAGATGGTGATATTTGGTCAGTAGCATGCTTGGATGAATGGCTACCAAGTTTGTTAAAAAGAATGACCTTGACTTATATTTAAGGTCAAATGGGTCAAATATGTTTGAAACTTCTAAACGACTTCTGAATGACCAAAAGGCGCAGGAAATATTTGGCCCATAACATGATGGGATCAAGAATTACCACTTTTGTTAAAGTGAATGACTTTGACTTAAATTTAAGGTTACAGGGGTCAAATGGTTTTAAAATCTTTTAACCACTTTTTCTGAATAACCATGAGGCCCAGGATGTTGATATTTAGCCAGTAGCATGCCTGGATGAAGCGCTACCAAGCTTTTTCATTTGAATGACGTTGACCCACTTTCAAGGTCACATTTGGTCAAATATGTATACACATTAAAATGACCTAATTTCAATAAACAAGGGGATAAGATGGTGATATTTTGAAAGTTGCATCCTGATATGAAGGGCTATAAAATTTGTTCAACTTAATGACCTTGTTCTACTTTCAAGGTCACATGGGTGAAATGTTTTAAAATCTTTTAATAGGTTCTGTTGAATCATTTTTAATCATAAATATTGATATTTTACCTGTAGCTTTATATTATATAACTTTTAAGGTTACAAGTGTGAGAGTAATACCAGGTGAGCGATGCAGGCCCATCGGGCCTCTTGTTTCAACTTTGTGGTCTTTTATTATATGCGAAATATATACCGTTCAAGCAAAGACTCCGTGATTGTGGTCTTGTCAAATAAATCCGCATGGATTTGAAAACATATGGGTAACCATGTGCTGTGCTTTAGGCAGCAATTCAAATAAAAAATAAATTTATATATCAAAAATGACTCTGTGGAACTAATCGTGATTACAGAAACCTTGTCTATTCTAGCTCCAGATTAACGAACACCAATGCATTCGTTCAATAAATGTAGATGATTTTGACCAACAAAGTCAGGAGACCGCTGTTACCATTGACATACGAATGTTTCTTTCGACTGACGCACCAGATGTCCTATGGCGGGTTACATTGAAAGGATCGGTATGTCAAATTTATTCATTTGAACAAATAATAATAGCCCACAGTAATGTAACTGACTACAATCATGACGATAGGCCTCATAGAAGAAAAAAAGTTTAACTGATTGAATTTGTTTAACTTTGACGTTAAAACAAAGTCTATGCTATTTATTTCAACAAATCATCGACATTCCAAAATTTCGGACCAAAATATGACTCTAGACCTCGTACTTCTGTATAAGATATTTTCGAAAGTTTATGTATATATTTTTTACATATTTCGCTAATGTGATCTTAATAGCGATTCAATGTCATTCGACCAGCGTGTAGTATGTTCTTACTAAATATTGGGCTACCTCAATATTGGACCTGCCAAATGCTAGGCTAGTTTGATATTCAAATCATAACATCAAAACATAATTATGACTATTATGGTACCCTTTAACACCTATACTACGACATTCCGTTGTCTATGGTATTCATATGCAAATGGGTTGTGACCATATGTATCCTTTGAGAATTGTTGGAGGCTTACGTATCAGATAGTTCAGATAGTTTGGTAATCTTGAATCTGCTTTAGCTATATGTAAGACTGATGTACAAAACTTGTTAACATTAATTCCTTTTATTTGCATCGTTCCATGGGTTTCTTAAGGGTGATGTTCCGTCCACTATCAAATTTGAAAGCGTCGTTTGCCCTGCAAATATCACCATAGACGCACGTGATAGCCGTACCGGACAGGGCGTTAACGTCAGAGTCACTTTCCTAGAAGTCGGTATGACTGTTTTCAATATTTTTTGTTGTTGCTTTCATATATTCCTTCTATATTCACCATGGAAATATTTTCAAATTCAAAGAATGTTAAGTAAGGAGGATAGTGTAGTGGTAGAACTCGGGGCTCGTGACCGAAGGTTTGCGGAGTCGGGTCACGTCACGGCACTGTGTTGTATATTTGAGCAAGATACTTAACTCCACTTATCCCAGTCTACTCAGCAATAAATGAGTACGTGGTTTGGCAGTGCTAGAATTGTTGAATGCTAGCTATAAGCGCCGAAATGGCAGCACCGACTGTATGCTCCCCAGGAAGTTGAGAGAGATATTGGCTGGATGCAATGGCCCTATAACCAAAGATAATAACTTGTGAAGCGCTTTGAGACGACCTACTATAAGAACCTCGAATTATTATTATCACTTTTCATTAAGATAGGTGTATATATTATAGTGCTGGAACTCAGTGTTGAGTTTGTGCCCTATTTGCCAGATAACTAACATAATCAGGGCTATCGAACAAACCTATTTGTTTTTACAATTGTTTATGGTGAAATATCATTCATAGGCATAGTTAATTTCTTTGTCTCTATTCCAGATGGTGACTTCAACATTGGGAAGTTTATAACAGTTCAGGGATATTACAGTAAGTAAGAATGACATACCACAGGTATGTTATAAAGGTTAATAACAGTGACTGACAATATAAATATTACGGTAAATAGTTCATTGAATGAAGTAAGGAATATCAAGGTTAATATAAGAGTGGTTGTAAACAAGCATGTAACGGTAAGTGTTGAACTGGCTATCAACAAAGTAATAACGGTAAGTATAAGAGTGACTATCATCAAGGTTATAAGGTAAATATAAGATTATTATTAAGGCATACGAGTTAGTATTCAAATGTTTATTTAAGATAATAACGGTAAGCGACTCTAAAAAAAGAATATTGTCACTGTCGAAGATGTTATGGTAAGTAATACAATGGTACAACACAGTTATTGTTGTTATGGTAGGTATTACTATAGTACCAAAAAGCCATTGATGTTATGTTAGTTAATACAATAGTACAACACAAGCATTGATGTTATGGTAGGTAATACAATAATACAAAATAGTCATTGATGTTATGCTAGTTAAAACAATAGTACAACACAAGCATTGATGTTATGGTAGGTAATACAATTGTACATTACAGACATTGATATGGTAAGTAATACGATAGTACATCACAGACATTGATATGGTAAGTAATACGATAGTACACCACAGACATTGATATGGTAAGTAATACAATAGTACATCACAGACATTGGTATTGTAAGTAATACAATACTACATCACAGACATTGATATGGTAAATAATACGGTAGTACACCACAAACATTGATGTTGTGGAAAGTAAAACAATAGTACATCACAGACATTGATATGGTAAATAATACAATAGTACAACACAGACATTGCTATGGTAAATAATACAATAGTACATCACAGACATTGGTATGGTAAGTAATACAATAGTACATCACAGATATTGATATGGTAAGTAATACAATAGTACAACACAGACATTGATGTTATGGTAAGTAATACAATAGTACATCACAGATATTGATATGGTAAATAATACAATAGTACAACACAGACATTGATGTTATGGTAAGTAATACAATAGTACAACACAGACATTGATATGGTACGTAATACAATAGTACAACACAGACATTGATATGGTAAGTAATACAATAGTACATCACAGAAATTGATATGGTAAGTAATACAACAGTACATCACATACATTGATATGGTAAATAATACAATAGTACATCACAGACATTGATG